CTTGAATCTGATCTCACTTCAGTAAAAGATTGGGGCTCACAGTGGCTTGTAAATATTAACTCCATCAAAACTATTTACCGCAAACAATTATTGCATTACTGTTGATATTCTTATGTTTATTAATTATTTTCAAAAAATAATTCTCCTTTATTCTAATGTACTTCATTTTTCCCTTCACTGGCGTTAACAGCTCGTGTGTGACCATTTAGCAAATTTGTATGCTAAAGGCAACCATCTTACTGAATCCTCTTTACGTCTTCTTGGATTATCATTTACTACTGATCTTTCATAAAAACCATATACACAATTGATTGCTAAGTTAACATTCGCTAAGGTTGGTTTTCTTTATCATGCTCGCTATTTTCTAACTCCTGATTCCATTCTCTACCTCTGCAAATCTCTTATTCATCCCTGTAAGGAATACTGTTGTTATGGTTCTTTTAGTTATTCCCTTTCTTTTCTAGACAAGTTCCAAAAAAGTTTTGAAAATGTAGTTGGACCCGCTCTATCTTCTAAGTTTGAGCCATTTTTCCATCATCATAAAGCTGCATCTCTTTCTCTTTTCTACAAATATTATCATGGTTGCTGCTAAAAGGAGCTATCATCTCTAGTTCCATTAACTAAAACTCATTCTTACTTGACTCGCCATTCAGTTAAGTCTTGTTCTTGAACTAAAATCTTTTATTTGTCTTGTTTTTTTACCCGCACCTCAACCCTTTTGAAATCTCTCTAATCTTCTTGTATTCCTGACTCATACAACCTTCAACTTTTTAAGTCTCCTGTCAACGGTTTTCTTGCTCTATAACTCTATTCTTTTTTTCTAGTAACTCCCAACTTAATACTCGTTGTTTGCAGTCCTGTTGGGAGTGAATCAGAATAGGAAAAAAAAAAATGTTCAACACGTTTTATGCATAAACTTCCATGTCACAACTTCTTTTGAAGCTATTGGATATTTGAGAAATATTGGTAATAGAGATTGAAATAATTACTTTATTTAACAAAGGGATCTGTAAAATAAAGTAATATTCCTGTGAAGCCATTTGATTTGTAATGCCAACAGTTTTATAGAGTACTTGACAGAGAAAAGTCTCTATAAAATAAAAAAAATAAAGTGATACGATCTCAAACTCAAAAAGTTTATAATTGTATTTGCCTGAAAATGATACTAGAGGATGTATTGTATTGAATTTACAGTTCTCTCTCATCATGTTGGCATGTATTAACAGTTCTCTTGCATCATTTTGTATTATATCTTTAAACCTTTTTAGAGCATACACTAGTCTGATCTAAGAAAATAATCTTGTTTTCATTAATTGAAGTACTATCATTGTATTTATTTCACTGAGCTTCTGTCTCTTTTTTATGAAAGTAAAGTAAATTTTATGAAAAAAAAGTAGTTTTTTATGAAAGTAAACTTTCATAAAAAACTAGTTTTGCTGTTAATGCTGTAAATTGCCTTTCAATCTTTTACTGTCTAACTTTTAGAATAATAAAGTTTTGTAAAAAATAAATATTTTGTTTATTCTACTTATTTAATACTCCTTTGCACTGATTTTATTTTTAATACAATACAATTCACATCTCTTCTTCCTGCAAGATCTACACAATTGACAGTAGACAGTAGTCAGTCTTCTACACTTCAGTCACAGTACTGTCTTCCAAGAAAATAAAAAATAATTTTTCCTTATTTTTTTTGCTTTTCTTTTTTTAAATGTTTCAGAATTAAAATTTCTTTTTATTGGCTACATTGTCAATGCACATAAAAATACAAAATGAAAATTACTTTCACTATTACTAAAGCTCAATATATTTCAATATTTTAAAATTTACTTAACTTTAGGTTCTATTCTTTATTTTGATGGTGCAAATGAAGGTTTACAAGATATCGTTTTTATTAATCCATCATGGGTTTGCAAATTAATGTCAGCATTTATCACTGAAGATGCTGTTCATACATTTGTTAAAAATGGTATTTTAGAACAAGATAAATTTACAGTAAGTAAACATTTACAATGAAAATATTATTTTTTGCTTTTCCAAATGTTTTGGTTGGCATGCACAAAATCAATGAGAGCATTGTTTGATTTTTTATCAAGAGCTTTATCATGTTTGCAAAAATAAAAAGTAGCAAAGCAAGCAATTGCAAGAAAGTGTTAATATAATTTTTAAATAAAATTTAACGATTTTTAAGAAAATTTTTTCGTTTTGTTTTTTGTTTTTGTTTTTGTTTATGCTACACAAAGATCGCAAAAAGTGACCAACGGAGCCATCCAGTAACGTAGACCTGGGATTTGTAAAAATAAAAACAGAAGATGATGTTATTTAGGTAAAAAAAAATTAATGTAAAGGCTATTTAGTAAGAGGAGTAAAAGTTAGCGACTCGGAAAGAGAAAAACCATAACTCACACTCTAGTCATCTTTAGCAAATGATAAATCAATGATGTATGAGTAAACAAGTCAATATAAATCCGCTGTTTTATTAATGGTATCTATTACTAAAATAATCGTACCATACAAAAACAATAAAATAAGTAGATAACAAAATAGTAAGTAAAATGATAATAAATGACAGGTGGATCAATATTTAAAAAAAAAAAGTATAATAAATGTGATACTATATATGTTATATTTCTATATACTCTAGATAATAAATTGAGAACTGATAATCACCTGTGTAACATAAAAATATATAAATGTTGTTAATGTAATAAAGTCATAATAAAAAGCTCTAAAATTCACAAAGCGCTAAAGTTCATGGGTGTAAGAGGTAAAAAAAATTTGGTGCCATAATAACCAATTAGAATTAAGTAGTGGATAAATGGTAATCCCCTCCTCAGGAATGCACTGCAATCACCATTGAGGTTTCGGAGAGCCTGAGACCTGAGACTAACGCCAATCGTCAGGGGCATGTCCTTGCAACAGATCTTACTGCCTGTACTCTACATTATGTTACTCAATATTACAATATAATAGGACTACACTACAAAACCCAAAAAACCCAATCTCTATCCCAGTTTTCAATACATGTTTTTTTTTTTATAAGCATAATGTTTATGCATATGGAGGCTCTGATTTGGAAAAAAAATAAGCATATGTAAGCATATTCCTGAGCCTTGATAAACCATTTAAAAGATTTAAATTTTATTTAATTAAAAATTTTAAATATATATATTTCTAAATTTAAGCCTACAAAAACAACAAAAATCGAAGTTTATGTTTTGCAGTGCAACGACTTTATGAAGTAAAGAAGTCATTGTAATGCAAAATCTAAACCTCAATACTTGACCAGAAAAACATTAAGTTTAAGAGTCGCTCTGCAGTGTTTTATTTCTCTCTCTCTTTTTTTTTCTTTCTCTCTCTTTTTTTTCTTTCTCTCTCTCCTTTTTTTCTTTCTCTCTCTCTATTTTTCTTTCTCTCTCTCTTTTTTTTCTTTCTTGCTCTTAATGTGTAGTTTATTTAATACCATATTCAAAATGTTTATTTTATTTCTATTTTATTTTTATTTTTTTTAGAAAGTATTGAAATAAGCATATTTTATTAGAAATATGCTTAAGTTTAAGCATATTTTTGAGCCTCTTTTAACTTTTTGCTTAAGCATACCCGAGCCTGTTTCAAAAATTTCATATGCTTATAAAAAAACAAACATGTACAGCTCCAACATTCTTAGAGATCTCGTGAGGGTGGTGAGGGATGCGCATGGTGTAACCATAAACAAATATGTTAACACATATAAATGTAATGTACACTAACTATAGAAGAGACAAACTTGTACACATGCACGTATGCGCTTGTATTAAAATAAACAATTTTAATGTGTAAAAATAACACAAAGCAAATAGAAAATAGTAATTAATAATTAAGAGTAACTTACCATTTCTTTTATGGCTGAAGTATGTTTTATAAATATAATAAAAAAATACCACTTATAAACATTGATACTTAGTTAAAATGTTTTGTGGTTAGTACGAAAGTAGTTAAACAAAAATATGATAAAAAATGTGGTAACTCCAATAGTATGTTTTCATATAAATCACAAAACAGACTCTGAGTAATTAAACATTGATTAGCCAGAGATAAAAAAATATACAAATATTAAATCAGTGGGCAGAGAATAATGAGAAAATAAAAAGATAAGATAATAAATGCAATTTTAACTAATAGCTTATAACCACTGAAAAATGTAATGTTAAAAAACAATATTGTTGACAAAACAACCAAAGGAATGTTAGTGAAGACTGTATAGTGCAAACCATAAAAAACTAACTTAGCGACGTCCATTTGAAATGTTGATTTTAGAGGCTGTTGATGTCTACAGGTGTGATGGTGTAGTGCATTAGTATGTACCGTTTCGTCCTCTAGTATGGTCTTGTTATGTTTTTGTTCTCTTTCAAATTGGGTGAATAGAAAGCTGAACACACTCATTTCTTGCGCTGATGGGCTAGCATGTCAGAGCCAGACGTAAGACCTACAGAATGGATTTTAATTGATCGAATGCTCACATTAGTCACCATAGGCCACAAGCCATCACTCTTAGCCAAAAGAGATACTGCCCCATGCTGGTGTGAAATGATGGGCTATGAAGTGAGATTTCAGATCCGACCACATAATCAGCAAGCGCTGATCCGATGTGCATTGTGGAGCATCCGACTGAACGTGTGTGTAAGTGTCAGCATAATCATTAGGTTATTGATCGTCGTAAACACATCCAGCGGGATAGCCTAATGTTCGTTTTGTCGTTGTGGTGTACATTGGAAAAAGTTGGGGCTCACCAGCCACAAAGAATAAATTTTAACTGAAGATGCTGTTCATACATTTGTTAAAAATGGTATTTTAGAACAAGATAAATTTACAGTAAGTAAACATTTACAATGAAAATATTATTTTTTGCTTTTCCAAATGTTTTGGTTGGCATGTACAAAATCGATGAGAGCATTGTTTGATTTTTTATCAAGAGTTTTAACATGTTTGCACATATAAAAAGTAACAAAGCAAGTAATTGCAAGAAAGTGTTAATTTAATTAACAATTTTTAAGAAAATTTACTAGAAATTATTAATAATTAAAATTATTATTAATTAATTCAATTATTAAATATTAAAATTAGATTAGTTGGACCTGCTCTTGCAGCCAACCTTCAACCTCTGTCACATCGTCGTAATGTTGCTTCTTTTTCTCATTTTTACAAATACTATAATGGGCACTGCTCTAAAGAACTTGCGTCTCTTGTGCCATCTACTAAAATTCATTCTCGTGTTACTCGTCATTCAATTAAGTCTCATCCTTTTTCTGTTACTGTTCCTAAGTGCTGCAAAAACTCTTACTCGTCTAGTTTTTTTCCTCGAACATCAGTTCTTTGGAATTCGCTTCCTTTATCTTGCTTTCCTGATTCATATATATTTTGCAATTGTTTAAGTCGTCTGTCAATTGTTATTTTGCTCTACAATCTTCATCTTTTCTCTTCCAGTAACTTCCAACACTATTTAGTGGTTGCTTGCAGCCTTGTTGGAAGCAAAGATGTTTAAAAAAAAAAGAAGAGATCAAATAGTTTTATATTAATTGTTTTTTATATTTATTGATTTTAATTTTTTTCTACATTGAAGTAAATCTGATTCAATTGCACAGACATTGAATCATTTGTTTGTGGAATCTTTGTTTTGTTTTTTTGTTTTTTTTTTATCTTCTTCACTACCATTAAGGCTGCAAGCTACCACTATTAATATTGGAAGTTACTCTAAGAAAAAAGTTGAAGTTTATAAAGCAAGATAATATTTAAAAGACAACTTAAAAGATTGCAATTTGTCTGAATCAGGAAAACAAAATGAAGGGAGCAAATTCCAAAGGACTAATGTTCAAGGTAAAAGCTAAATAAAAAATAATTTTTAAAGCACTTAGAAACAGTCAAAGTAAAAATGAGAGACTTGGTTGAATGACAAGTAACTTGAGATTGAGTTTCAGTAGCACAAATGGTGCTGACTCTTTAAAACAACGCCCATCATAGTATTTATAGAAATGAAAAAGAGAAGTAACATTACAACAATGTAACTATGTTTATAATGTGTTTTTGCACCTTGTCTAAAAGAAAAAAAGCATCATTTGAAGACCGCTCTAAATATGGCAGCAGTATTCCATACAAGTACGAATTTAAGATTTATAGAGATAAAGAATAGAATTTAGAGCAAAAAAGTGACAAGCAGGATAGAGATACAACCTTAGCAGATGCTAATTTTGCAATGGATTTGGTATATGATTTCCAAGAAAGATTAGAAGTAAGAGTTAATCCAAGAAGATGAAGGGTAAATGACTTATCGAGTACATTACCGTTCATAAATATAGGAAGATCTAGATTGTTGTGATAGCGATTAGCAAAAATAAAAAGAGATTTATCTGAGTTAAAGTTCACCAGCCACTGAAAGCCCCATGCTGTAGCACAAGCAAGATCTTTTTCAAGCTCAAATGCCCCCCTTTCAAGTAATCAGAGAGTGTCTGCTTCTTATCAAGACAAGAATAATTGGTAGTATCATCATTGAACAATGTCACCTTAGCTGTAAGAATTTTAGGGATATTGTTTATGTAAATTAAAAAATGCATAGGGCCTAGGAGAGAACCTTCAGCAACCCTTGAAGTTACTGGATATGAAGAAGAGTATTGCTCATTGAGGACAACTTTTATACTTTTATAGAATTAACTTGGTCTATTCTTAAAAAAGCCCCAGCTTAAAACAATACAACAACAAAAATGTTTATATTATTTATATGAAAAACTTATAATTTTACTTTATAAAAATGATAATAAGTTAACAAAAAAAGTTGATTTCCATATGTCGTCATGAAAATAAATTTCTATTAAACAACTACAAACCTGAAAGTTATTTACACCTGGTAACAATAGTTTTTTCCATATAGATTTTTTCAGTATAGTTTTACGTAACGAGTTTCAATTGCATATAATAATTTTTTTAACAAAAAAACTATATTTATTTCACCTGATGATTGCATG